AGAAGGAACCAGAGGAGCTGCAGGCTGAGTTCCCGGGTCCTCTCTTCCTCCCTCCCCTGCCGGCTGCCCGCACGGTGCCTGCAGACCGGGGAGAGAGATCGGCCAGGGGGGATCCACCAGTGATATATACAGCCCCTCTGTGTGCCTTTTTGTCTCCCCCAGTCCCTATGTATGTTTCTTTCTCCCCCTCACTGCTCCTCTGTGTACATTTCTCCCCTCTCTTTCCCAGTCTCTCTTCCCCCTCTGTCTCTTTCTCCCTCCTCTCTATGTGTCACTCTCTCTCCCCATCTGTCTCTGTCTCCCTCCTCTCTCTGTGTCACTCTCTCCCCCTCTGTCTCTTTCTCCCTCCTCTCTCTGTGTCACTGTCTCCCCCTCTTCCTCCCTCCTCTCTCTGTGTCACTCTCTCCCCCCTCCCATTAACCGACAGAAGTCAGGGTTAAGGATGTGGGAACCGCAAGGGAGCATGAGGGAGAGACATGCTCCTCCCTCCTATCGTCCTCAGCGTTAGTGACAGGACAGGAGTGCTGCCGGACCGGCGAGGCTGCCACCCGGCCCGGCGGTTCCAGCGTGAAACGCGGCCGGCCCCCTTATAGTGTGCCACCGGACCGGCCAACCGGTGGCACCTTCTTCTGCAGTCCCCAGATGCCGCCCCCAATCCAGCCCTGCCACCGGGCCCCCTGATGGCAGCCCTGGCGATGGGCCCCCCTCCCGGCCGGGCCCTCGGACCATGTCCAAAGTGCCCGACCGGTCAGTTCGCCCCTGCACAGACAAATACAAGAGGTAGAGAGAGCCCTGTCTGTAAGCTGATATCTAGCCATTGGAGCTCTTTTATACAATATGCTTAGCTAGAGCTTACAATCTGAAGGATACAATGGGGATTTGAGACAAGAGGTAGCAGGGGAAATTTGGAGGTGATGGAGTGAGTGTGATTTAAATCAGTGTTTGTGTCTATTAGTGTGTGTCTGTCAGTGATTACGTTTCAAATCAGTGAATGTATATGTCATTGAATGTTTCAGTGTATGTCTGTGTGTATGAGTCTGTGTGTATCTGTGTGTGTTGTAGGGTATGTGCACCCAGCAAATGCCAACTGTACACTAAACACGATTACACCCCTGCTTACAAATAGCAACAGTACATACAAACATACAGCTGCATTCAGATGCCAACACTACACACAAATACATACATACACACAAAACATGCTTAAATTTGTTATCAGTTTTTTTTTCTTCTATTGCATTAACGAGTGTTTATCCATAAAAAATTTAATGCACCTTATCAACAAAAGTCTCTACGTGTGTTGAATAAGTCTTACAACCACAGGAATAGAGTGGATGGGGGCTGGGTGGTACATGGGGGGATGCAAAATTTTGTTCTGCCCCGGGCAACTGTAACTTTGGTTACGCTACTGATAAGAAGGCACTTAAAACCGAATAGGAACATCCCCTGGCTGTCAACCATAGTTCTCTACCAGTGAGTTTTCTCAAACGGCAAATGCTTCCATTTGAGAAGAATCTGATTTAAAAAATAATAATAATTGAATTAAATGAAGATGAATAATATATTTAGGACACCTATGGCATGCAAGGATGTGTTTGTCATGTGTGTTTATTATTTGGGAAAGCATATGTATTTCTGAGAGCAGAAAATAAAATAAATTTAGTGGCCAGATTACATGTTAACACTAAGAGGGATATTTACTAAATTAAGAATTTAAAATTAATTCAAAGTAAATTTTCAAAAAGTCAAAATCGACAAAATAAATATTTACGTTAACTATACTTTCAGTACGCCTACTTTGGCCTTATAGGAGGTACTCCAGACCCCTAACGCACTTCAGCTTTCAGACAACAGGTCCTGTTACTTCCCGGTTTGGTTAGCTTAGTTGAGCTAAACTCAAGAGGCAGCAATTGCCCAGAACACCTGCCTTGCAAAGACCTCTCATTGAGCTGCATTGGGAAGTCTGTGATTGGACAGCTACAGAATGTCCGGGTTGGGGGAGAAGGGGAGGACGTACAAAGGCAGCAGACAAGAGAACTGCAACTTTTGCAAGCTGCTTTTAAATTTCTCCCCAATGAAAGATACATAATTAAATGCATGCAAGTTTTCATTTGGGTTATATCTACTTAATTGTGATTTTTATTTATTTTGTATTTGGGCAGTGGAGTGTCCCTTTAAACTATCACCTTTCATTTAAGGCCTAACAGAGGACAAACCACTGAATCAAGTATTAGTTTCACATCTCCTAAGCACATAAACTATATGATTTATAACAATGATAGATTATATATTAATTGCATAAAACCCAAATTATACACAATGAAGGTTGGCAAATTCCTATGAAGAACTTGTGTCTACCAGTGAGCAGCATTGAAGAGAGTGTCTGCTCGTGGCTATGGTCCTGAAGAAACACGTTCTACTTCACTTTTCATTTTATTATCACCTTTCTAATGCTCGATACGTTTAATCGCAAAGCATAGACACAACTTTAATCAGAGAATAGTGTGTTGGACTTTTTAGTTCCGAGATTAGAAGAGGTAATATGACAATTAGATGATGGTATATTCAGTATTTGCTATGTCTACCTGTTTCTATTTTTAAGTCTATCAGTCAATTCTAAGTCCATATACCATATCAACTGGAGTCAATTAAATCACTCTACTCTAGTGGATAATAAACCGGGCATTGATCACTTCACTTGGCATTTGAAATGCGAAGGAACAGCAGGTGTAGTTAATCATGGAATGTAGAAATACAAAGGCCTCCCAAATTCTCATTACATCTTGTCCTCCTACCTATTGCATCACTGGTGGCCTTGCCTTAGAAAATCTCGAATATCTTGTTGAGTTTCAAATAGAACCACAGTTCCTGGTTAACTTGGTCAACTCATAATTGATTCTGGAGTTTAAACTTTCATACGCAAACAGTTGCATGGACATTTAAGGACTTTAAAATTGGAATACAAATTGCACACACATGACGTGATTTAGCTTATTGCAGAATAAAATCAGATTTCAGGGACAACAAAAGGATTTATTATGAAGCCGATGGATGTAGGAGAACTGAAGATGGATTTATTTGATGGCTTCCCAGAAAAATATTATAAAATAAAAATATAATAAGACAAATCCTAAGAGAACGTGACTCTATTTGACAGCGAGTTAATAGGGAAAATATTGTACTATTCAATGGATAAAGTTATCCAAGCCAAATCAAACAAGGCTCATCAAATGGTTCAGTTGGTAAATGCTCTGAATTGTTTGAATCTCAAAGATTCTCTTCCGGCAAGAGGAAATAGATGAAGACAATGTTGCCCTCAGATGGTACTATAGTATCAATCATCTCAGTCATGTCGTCCAACGGACGCACCTTGATGCAGGGTGGTCACGGCACCCACTGGCGCGCTCCAATGTGGTGTGTTCCCACGAGGTCCGTGGGACCGCCACCAGTTCTACTCAGTCTTACCTACACAGGGGCCGCCTCTGAAAGCCAGAAAGACATCAGTCGCTGCTAGTTAGAGCCTTTTATGGCTCCAAAAGTTTTGCCCCTACTTCCAGTCACAATTGTGCTTTGTCAGATGGGCGTCGCACACGCACATTCTGATATCACATGACCGCCTTTGGCTAATCAGAACCATTCTCACGGTATTTAAACTCATAAGGAATATTTCAAAGTATCCTGTCTTGGTTTCATATTTGATTATCCGAGAGAGCGTTATTTGTATTTATTCTTTTGTATTTTGATCTTGGCCTGTACTTTGACTATTCTAGCTTCTGTATTCCTTGATCTTTGGCTTGTCTAACCATTGATGTACCATCTATTTCCCTGACCTCAGCTTCTTCTATACTTTTCTATTATTAAAGTTAAAACCGATCATTCTTGGGTCCGGTAGTACGTTTTGGGATTTCTGGTTAACATTATTTTAGTTAACTTAACTTCTCCATATTGGATATTAGACTATCTCCAAATTATACATGCATATAGACCCTAAGAAGTAGATATGTGCATTTGTTTCCCGACTAATCGGAATGATTAACGAAAATGAGTTTACGTTCATTTAATCTGCAAACTAATATAGGTCAATAAATTAACGAATGACCAAAATTAATTCACTGGCACTTGGTCATTCGGTGAACGTCTGCTACTGTTCTGAATGGGTCTCCTCGTCCTTATGGTATTGCTTTAAGCGCAGCTACTTTCCCAATTCTGCTTTCACTGGCTTCCTGTTATACATAAATTCTAAATTCCATTTGCTACTTCCTACTGCTCATATTCAAAGCTCTCTATGGTTTTCTCTCTTAAATGAAGAAATGTACTGTGATTGAGACAATCAATCATCAAATGCTTTGCATATGAGCACTAGGAAGGAATTAAATTTAAAATCATGTATCGTACAGATAACCGGGGACAAAGAGAGCTGGGTCTCAAGCTTAACGACCTGAGAATAACTGAAGAAATTGGAATATTCCCTTTTTTAGGGGTGATTGTTGTGACTGTCACCTTTATATCCAGGGGTCAAGTCCTGGGGAAAAAAGTGTGGGAACTCACCCAAGATTCCCGCCGCCCCCCCCCGCCCCCTTTAAAAAAAAAAAATTACACTCCTATGCATATAGTGCAGTGCAGGGTGTGTATAATGAATGTAGTGTGTTTGTAGTGAATGCAGAGTGTGTACAATGAATGCAGTGTATGTAGTGTGTTTGTAGTGAATGCAGAGTGTGTATAGTGAATGTAGTGTGTAGTGAGTGCAGAATGTGCATAATAAATGCAGAGTGTGTATAGTGAATGCAGAGGGTGTATAGTGAATGTAGTGTGTTTGTAGTGAGTGAAGAGTGTGTATAATGAATGCAGTGTGTGCGTGTGCGCGCTGGATGACGTGTGTGTGAGTGCTGGATGATGTGTGTGTGTGTGCTGGATGATGTGTGTGCGAGTGCTGGATGATGTGTGTGTGAGTGCTGGATGATGTGTGTGTGCTGGTTGATGTGTGTGAGTGCTGGATGATGTGTGTGTGCTGGATGATGGGTGTGTGTGCTGGATGATGTGTGTGTGAGTGCTGGATGATGTGTGTGTGAGTGCTGGATGATGGGTGTTTGTGTGAGTGCTGGATGATGGGTGTTTGTGTGAGTGCTGGATGATGGGTGTGTGTGTGAGTGCTGGATGATGGGTGTGTGTGAGTGCTGGATGATGGGTGTGTGTGAGTGCTGGATGATGGGTGTGTGAGTGCTGGATGGTGTGTGTGATGATGTGTGTGTGCTGGATGATGTGTGTGTGTGTGTGATGATGTGTGTGTGCTGGATGATGGTGTGTGTGAGTGGATGATGTGTGTGTGAGTGCTGGATGATGTGTGTGTGAGTGCTGGATGATGGGTGTGTGAGTGCTGGATGATGGGTGTGTGAGTGCTGGATGATGTGTGGGGGGGGGGAGCATTTTTTTCTTACTTTATGTGTTTATATTTTTTTTATTTTATTCCCCCCTCCCTGCTTCTTACCTTGTCAGGGAGGGGGGAGATCGCCTGGTGGTCCGGTGGTATGCTGGAGGGAACCAGCCGCTGCACAGAGGGGCCATCACACGCAGTGTTCCCTCTCCAGCTCTAACTCTCGCGAGACTCGCCTGTGCGGAGCGTTGCCATGGTAACAGCCGCGGGTCTCGCGAGAGTTATAGCTGGAGAAGGAACACAGCGTGTGCTGGCCCATCTGTGCAGGTAGCAGGGTCGGTCCTGCAGGACAGGTAACGGGAACGGCGTTCCTGCTTTGGAAAAAGTGCAGGAACGCCGTTCCCATGCGTTCCTGCAGGACTCGAGCCCTGTTTATACCCATAGAGATGGTTCAACTGAAATTCGTTCAATTAACAAAACTTTTTAATGAATTTCTGTTTGACCAAAGTGACATTTAAAGGACCACTATAGTGCCAGGAAAACAAACTTGTTTTCCTGGCACTATAGGGTCTTTAGGTTAAACTCTTACCTTAATCCAACGCCGGGCTCCCTCGGCGCTGGGGAACTCTCCTCCCTCTTCTGACGTGAGCGCCGAATGCGCATGCGCGGCAAGAGCCACGCGCACATTCAATCAGTCCATAGGAAAGCATTACTCAATGCTTTCCTATGGACATCAGCGTCTTCTCACTGTTATTTTCACAGTGAGAAGCGCGGAAACGCCTCTAGCGGCTGTCAATGAGACAGCCACTAGAGGCTGGATTAACCCCACTGTAAACATAGCAGTTTCTCTGCTGCAGGGTTAACCCTAGATGGACCTGGCACCCAGACCACTTCATTGAGCTGAAGTGGTCTGGGTGCCTATGGTGGTCCTTTAACAAATTTTAGACAAAGTTATTTTTTCTTTTATTTTTTTACAAAGCTGAAAATTCTTTCCATGCACATTTGAACTAACAACCAGCTTCCAAAGAAATTTTATTTGTTTTTTTTAATGACAGATTACTTTAAAGCTGCACTGTCATGCCAAACTTACCTTTGTACTATCGATTCCTCTTCTCTTCCTTTCTCAGGCTATGTTCTTCTTTTCTTCCTATCTGATCTAGTTTTCTTTAAAACATAAGACAAAGTAGAGGCTTCTTTGTCTTATGTATTTTTTCTACGCTTGACCTTCTTTGACCAAAGGAAGAGTTTAAGTCCGCTCCATTTTCCCGTGGTCAAAGAAATTTACCCACAATACTCACCCTTCCTCCGTGATCTTGCGTTGCTTAATTCGCATTTCGAACGTCTTGGCATTTAGACAGGGCGCCAGCAATTTTATAAATAATTAATAAAACACCCCCTTGGCTGTCAATCAAACAGCCAGGGAGGTTTCTTCCTCCTTCTGTTAGCTCCCCTGAGCTAACAGAACTGTCAGGCACTCTCTGCTTGACCAGATCAGACATCAGATCAGCTTCCACAGACCTCAGATCAGAATGCTGGAAGTGTGCATACAAGCAGGTGCGCATGTTCGGAGGAAGATCTTCAGAGGTTCTTCAAAGAAAGTCACTCTCAGGGAAAAAAGGGGAGGTCTGGGAAAGATTTATTATTTATATAAGAACCAAAACGTTTGTAAGCTCTTTTAAGATATACCTCCAATGAATACATGCATGAAAAATAAAAAAATAATAATAATAAAGGTTTGTACAGCATACTTTGTCAATACAACAGGTGTGGACTTTATAAATATAGATTCTTGTAATATTTTAAATTCAATCTAAGACTTGGTGTCACAATGTAATTTTATAGAAAATGTTAGGGTTTTATTTAGGACGGGTTTAGAAAGGGCTTAAAGGGACACTCCACTGCCCAAATGCAAAAAACAAAACAAAAACAACATGAAAATCACTGTTTAGAAAATAAGCCCCCAAGAAAAACATGCATGCATTCAATTGTGTATTTTTTATTGGATTTATAACTAAAACCATCTTGTCTGCAAACCTTCTAACCCCACCCAGACTTTCTGTCGCTGTCCAATCACAGATTTCTCAATGTAGATCAATGAGAAGTCTTTGTAATGCAGGTGCTCTGGGCAATTATCTGACTCTGAGTTTCGCTCCACTAAGCTAACCAAACCAGGAAGTAACAGGACCAGTTGTCTGATTGACAGCCAGAGGTATTTAACAAGGTTAATTTATAAAAGTGCCAATTTCTATGGAAAACTGAAAAAAAAAAGGGCAAACTCTTCACACATCAAGCTTAAGTGCTTTAGGGGTACAAAGTGTCCCTTTAAGTCTCTCCCAGACACATTCCCGTATCTCTATTTTGGTGTTACCAGATAGTCTGCACTATATATTTTTATTATCTAGTCCAGATTGTACACTTGGAAATACTGTACTTATTGCAGTTGATTCGTTTTTTGGTATTATACATACTGACATACATGTTGACATACATACATACTGACACACACACAGCTAATTTTTCAGCCACCCTCCTGATTCTTACCTTTTTGTTGCAGGAGGGTGGCTGGGGCTGATGGGAGTTGGCTGGTTCTTTACTGCCTGGCTGTTTCTCCTCCCACACGGAGTGAGCTGGGAGGAAGTGACCAGCCGTCACTTCCTCCCAGCAATACTTGCGGCTGCATTTTTTTTTTACAGGGGCTCGGTCACACTGTTACACGGCCACAGCAACAGCAACAGCGCGACCTGGCCCCTTTAAAAAAAATATATATATATAGGGCCGATCGGGTATCCCTAAATGCTTGGGCCATCCGCCGAGCCCCCCAGGGCCGCTGGGCACATAACAACCATCATGGTTGCAGTGGCAGATCCAGGGGGGGGCAACGGGGCAATTGCCCCCCCCCGAGATTCTCCCCTGCCGGCTAATGCAGGGCTGGCATTGTCCAAGTGCCAGCCCTGCAATGTGCCTGCGGACCAGGGAGGGAGATCAGAGACCTCTCTCCCTGGTCCGCAGTCACCGTGCTGGCAGCCGGCGGGGGGAGGGAGGGAGAGAGGACCCGGGAGCTCAGCCTGCAGCTCCTCCGGGTCCTCCTCTCACGAGCATGGAGCGTTGCCGCGGTTACCACGGCAACGCTCCAAATTTTGTGAGAGTGAATTTTAGCCCTGGAGCTACGGGCTAGAGTTCACTCTCACCACTGGACCACCAGGGAATCCCCACTGGACCACCAGGGATGGAGAAATGTAACGGTAAGAAGGGAGGGGGGACATAAATGTATTTATTTAAATTAAATTTAAAAAAAATATATTAAAAAGCCTGCCTACCCTCCTTCCCCCCCCACACACACACTGCCTCACACACACATTGCCCCCATACACACACACTGCCCCCCATACATACACTGCGTCACACACACATTGCCTCCCATACACACACTGCCCCCCCATACACTGCCTCACACACACATTGCTCAAATGAACAAGAAAAAAAAATCCCTTGGATTCTGTTCATCTTGTTGTTAATGCCTGTCTGTGCAAACAGTGAATTGATCAGATATGTACGTACAGGAAGAGGTTCCATCTAAACAGATCATTTTTTAATTCTCCGGGAGACCTTTTTAAAATGCAATCTTTACTCCTGAGTTCAGATGAGTGTGAACTGATAACTTATCTTTATGACATAGTGCTCAATAACAGTCTACAAAATGTTAACTACTTAATTGCTGAGTGCGCATGACATACACAAAGCACACATTAACAACCATCTATATTTGTCTACCACTGGGGGGTGGGTGGGTAGGTGGTGGGGGCATTACTCTTTTTATCCATGTGTGCATGCTTCACTAGTCGCTGTCCACCTTTTTTCTGTGTGTTCCACTATCTTTATATTATAAAGAGTTGTAGAAATTGATATCTAGTAGTGTTTGGTTAACTACGCCAGAAATTGTAGAGAATTGACGAGGCAATTGCACATTTAGATCCAAAGATTCAGTCAAACTGTCAGCTTCTCTGTTGCCAGTTAAGGAGAGAATACATTATATTGCAGCAAATGATAAAACATTTGTTTCCATAACTTATTTCACTTTATATTATCTTTTTTTTATTTACCGCTGCCTCATGCATCTTAAAAATGAGTTTTAGATACTGCTAGCACAGTTTGGAGGGTTTTTTTTTCTTCTGTATATTATTTTCAATACCTCTTCCACTTTAAGGAACATTCTACAGTTAAATATCAATATATTTGTATTTAACTCTGAAAAAATAGTATTACTGAGCTTGATTCTTCGCGGTTGACCAGCCTCCGCTCGATGAGATCATCAGCCAGTCCAATGCTTCCAAACTAGCAATTGCAACCAATTAGCACCTCCAACTAGAGATGCATTGTCATGATAGGTGTGACGGATAAGAATGTGAAGACCTTAAACTTGTTTTAAACTTCTTAACGAAGAAGTGTCTCTTACGGCAGCCACAAGAGATGTGTTCTTTGGAAAATTAAAAAATTGCCAATTCTCTGAAACATTAAAGGGACACTATAGTCACCAGAACAACTACAGTTTAATGTAGTTGTCCCTTCAGGCATTTTCATGCAAACACTGTCTTTTCGGAGAAAAGGCATTGTTTACATTGTCCCCTAGGGACATCTCCAGTGGAGCGGATCGGGTACGGGGACAGCACTGGCGGACCAGCGTGGCCCTGGAAATAAGGTGTGTTTTAACCCCTTCTAAGGAGGCGAAGGGGGGGCAAGCCACCTAAATGGTGGTTTTAACACTATATGTTTGTGTTCCTGACCCTATAGTGTTCCTTTAAGATGTAGTGGTTTTGGTGTTTAGAGTGAACCTTTATAATACTATTT